GATGAAATATTGTTGCAAAACCCATATTTCTAAAAGAATGAAACTATTCAAAATGATGCGGTTTCATCAAAAATCTATCAACAACAATAAGAAAGGAAATTATTGCCAAAAATTACATTTTTAAAGATGTGAGATGTGAAAAGTGTACTCGGAAGCTTCATTTAAAAAATTCTTTAAAAATACAAAATATTATTATTTTTCCAAAATTCTTTTTGTAAAAGCAGTCGAAAGGATAAAAGTTTAACGTGTTCAAAAATAAAATAAAATAAAATAAATAAATAAATAAACTGTACATTTTTAAAAATAAACTATTTTAGAAAAAATCCCGTTGAAAAGGTGTTAAGCTCACTTTGTTAAATAAATCCGTATTTAATCAATTTATTCAAACATGAAACTTATTTTAAGTTCGTAAAATAGCTAAGTGCCTACATTTCATGACAATGTGAAAATTTAGTGTGTAGAGTGAAATCTCGCTTTCCTATAGCCCATTATGTCTCAAAATGATGCAATTTTGTCACAAAACATAAAATAAAAAAATTCGAATTCGAATTTTGAAAAAATCGCTTCGAGGTGCACTGGCTCTTGTCTGGATGCACCTATGTACTAAATTTCGTAGCCGTGGGTCTATTCGCTTACGCGCAGCGCGAACGAAAGACACACACACAGACAGACTCTTTCTTTTATTATACGTAGAGATGAATTTCAGTTTTGGTCTTTGTGAAAAATTGGTTCCAAATTTCTTTCTTTCTCTCTCTCTCTCTATATATATATACATAAATTTCTATTTCCAGTAATAACTTTGGCTTATTTGAAATTTAAAATATGCATCTACTCTTCGATTTTTATTAAATATTGATTGTAAAATAAATGAATAAGTAAAAACAAATAATTACAACTGAAATAACAGATTTAACAATGTAATCATTTACTCTCTATTTCACATAATTATACATCATAAACTAATATCCACACATTTTTCAGAAACATAAAGCTGAATTTTACATGACTTGTTTTTAAAATGATTAAAACCGATTTCCCATAACCAACTTTAAAAAATACAATATAAATCAATACTGTAATATATAATGTTATACAATTCAAATTGTGGAAAAGTAATATTTGTTTTCTTGCATTGCAAAGTAAAAATTATCACAAAAATGCATGCTTTCTAAAGTCAAAATAGCTGCAGCACATATAAATATTATCACTCACTAATGGAAAAAACATACATTGGGAAAACATCTTCATCAGCACATATTAAGGAAATCAAAAAGGTTGTCATGTTGATTGGGAAATTAAAAGGTTACAAAAAATAATTCAAAAACTTTTCGCCAACTATATACATCCTTCTCAAATCCAACAATTTATATAGTAGCAAAATCATACTTTCTCAACATTTTTTTACATTACAAAAGAGCTTCTGTTAAAATATCAGTTATGAAAACAACACTGTGCTTTTAGAAATTCAAATATTTATACATCATCTATAATAAGACTGACTAAGTACACTAACAAGTGTTTGTTCATTATATAAGACAATTTTTAAATACCTACTTAAAACTCCTAGCCATTTTACAAATGAAAAAAGCCAGAAACCACTATTCACAAGCAATGTTGTAGACATGTATTAGCTTAAAAAATAAATAAATAAAAAGAGAAAGAAAGACAGACAGAGAGAAGGAAAATATAGATATATTTTAATTTTTAAAAAGGCTAGAACTGTACTGAAAGATTTATAGTAATGACTAATTAAATATGTGAGTAAAATCTTGTTTTTTAAAATTCTAAACATAAAGTTCCTATTTTTATTTGTTTATTTATTTAGATAAAGCATTTCATATAATTTTAGGGGTAATATCTTTCCAGCTATTTAAATTTGGTGTAATAACTGTTAGCTAATTTTAACCTTAACTAGTTTTTACACACACCCTTGACTCTTCCAGATATTCACATATGTATACACAGCCAGAGCCTGACTAAGGCAGAGGCATACGGAGCACTTGCCCCGAGCCCTCAAATCGAATAGAAAGTTTATTATTATAAAAATTTAAATATCTCCAAAAAGTTTGCTTGTTCATTACTGGAGTAGTGAAGCAGAGAGGGAGGGGCAAAAAAGTTTTTGCTCTGGGCCCTATACACAGCAGTCAGAGAAATAAATATAAATGAACTGGCGTAAAAAGTCCTTTAAATAACAATTACTATTAAAATGAACAAATCTATTTTCTCCGGTCATCATAAATATGGAGTTCAGTTAAATTCACAAATTTGCTTTCTCATTGAAAGCAATCTTGCTTTTAGCATATATAAGTTTTCTTTCTCCAAGAAATATTCTTTATAATACCATAAATAAATTTTAAAATGAAATAACAAAAATAATATCGATTAGATTATCAGAACTAACATACTTGATTTAAAATCTAAAAGAGACTTTTAGATTCTGAAGTAATATTTAAAGGGGAGAGGAGGCAGACAGGAAGTCGAATGCTTAACAAAATAGTTCTTAAACATCATAATTATTTGCATATTTCTGTTATTAAGTGCTTATACACTTTCAGCTGAAAGAATAATAATTGTTGTTACCATAGAAAATACAAGAACTGGCAAATATAAATCATTATCCACATATAAATTATTGAAAATTAATAACTTAAACCCAAGTAATTAATAACATATTAAGCATCTTTTTTTTAAAAAAAGTTACTTTTCATGTGTGTTTGCTCAACCAACCTCCTGCAGTACGGATGAAATATAATGTAATAAGAAAAAAATAATTAGCTTTCATAATAAACATTTATAACATTCTTTTCGTCCTTTGAAATAACAATAAAGAGAAAAATTTTAAATATTTCCCATCCTATGTTTCATACTAGTGAATTTCGTTTACTATCAGACATATGTATAACACTCATATATACATAAAGCACATACGAAAATTACATTTAATAAATATTATTGCTCTGTTCTGTCATTACAGGATTTGCTGATAATTTAAGGAAACAAAAATAATCACACGTTCTAGGACTGAACCATTATAAAACCTCAATTTAATGGACATACAATAACTAATCTTACCTAATTAGTTAATAATAAATTAACAAGTTCCACTACATTTTTAAGATAACCAAAAATAAAAGAGAGATGCTAACAATTTTTTAAGTTGATTTCTATAACAAAGAGAAATTATTAATCTTCAAGGGAAAAGTACTTATGTATTAGTTACAATGAGTTTATAGACACTATTTATACAGGAAATATACGACACATGCTATTTTCTAAATTCATTAACATATCATCTGCATCAAAATCGTTTTATGATCAATTATTTGCCAGATATTTTACCTCTAAAAAATTAATTTATACAAAATATTTAACAATAAGATGCTGAATACTAAAATGATTATTATAGCTTAAAATGAGAACACATAACAACCTTATAGCTTAATATAGCAATAACATATATTCGTAGCATTATTTTTTATTCTCAGATACTCTTCAAAACCTATCAAATACTACTTGTATGGAGGAACAGAGAAAAACTTGGATTTTTGCAGTGATAGAAGGCAGTACTGAACTTTAAGGAATTTTTTTAAAAAACTGATAACTATTAAAATTTTTGTAATTTAAAATATACGGAAAGTGGAATAAATGATGACTTCAACAATCATCATGCTCTTACATTTTAAATAATATAGGCATATAAGTTTAATTAAAATTGCAAAAAATGGATAACGGTAATTATTTAGGTCTGATCAAAATTAGATATGATAAACTAAGCTATGTTGCCAAAATGTGCATGGAATATATATAAAAGCACTTTTTGTGAATGGACAGCATTTTTTTCAGACAATAATTACATTTGACCACAACACCTTTTTCGAAAGCCTGAGACATTAAAAGTCTCAGAAAGTCTTAGTCCATCAAATTGAGGTTTTTTATTTTACAGATAATTTTCTTCTCATAATAATTCCATATAAAATACATTAATATTAATCTGTAGCAATTCAAAAAGCTTTAGGACGGATGGATCTAATCTAGCTTCTTGGTCTAATGAGCAATTAAGGTAGGTGGCAGGTTGAAGCTTTGGCATCGCCAACAATACCATTTGTTCACTGGCCTCAAAATTTCCGATAAAAAAATGAATGGCAAAGGATTTCATTGCTTTTATCACAAGCAGCTTCCATTAAAGTAAAAAGGAATAAAATGCAACTTATTGTTTGACACACACAGTACACAGTTTCATCAAATACTTTAAATTTAATTTCTTGCAAGTTTTCAGATATGTAAAATGAAATTCATTTTTAAAGGAAATTATTGCTTAGAAAATGATATTCATTAGTTATATAAAAGCGTTATGCTCATTAAAACACATAATGAGTTCTAAAAATTCAATTTATGATAGCACAGAATTGAAATAATTGCAGTGATTTGCATACCAAACTAAAGTAATCTCATTGTAGTCAAATGGTCTATACTCACAAATTTAATATTTTTTAATTCTTTGAATGAAAGCAAGAAACAACTTCTTGGAAATAAGTAAGAGGATATAGAAAATATGAGAGCACAGGTTGACATGAGCTATCTTATAATCAAATAAATTATTTAAAAGCTGGCAAAAATGCTAAAATTACACATGTAACATATTTTAATAACAAAGCTCAGGACTAGGTACTAAAAATTGAAACTTATAAAGGAACTAAGCTGCAAATAATAGCAGAAAATATATCTTAGAATAAAGATACTTTTTTTTCATTGTATTAAAAATTACCCTTGGGGGGGGGAACATATTAGTCATGGCAGTGGTCTCTAATTGCACACCAGCTGAAAGTTTTTAATAACTACTTATTAAAAGATACATAAACAGTAATAAAAATGATGCCTCCCCAAAAATAATAAAATCAAATACCAAATTTATACTTATTTTCTATCTGAAATCTAAATGTTGGTGTTTGCAAGAAATTTCTATTAGTTACACTTTATAATTTAAACGCATTGACAGTTAAATATTTAAACTTTCAGCCTGACATTTATTCAAATGAATTAACTACAAAATAACTTACTTAAAAGGATTAAAAAATTCAAGCAAATTCTGCAGATGCATTTTAAAAATACAAAATAATTATGGAAGTATTTTTACAAGAATGGAAGGAATAACATTGTACTATAAATATCATTTACAAATAATTTAAAAGGATTCTTTTCATTTTTGGCATTTAAGATATGCGAATTTTAAAATTTTAAGAAAGGCCTGAATGTCAGTTCTACATACGACCTAATACATAACAAATTCTATTTACTACTAAAAAATGCAGAATATATCAGTTTGAAATATTTAAATACCCTGTGATAATTTTGACATATTAAAAATTACGTACAAAAAAAGATGCAAATTTTGCATGCACAAAAAATTATAGCAATGTACAATTAATAAACTACAAATACTTAATAACATTTAAATTTTTAAAAACAGATACACACAAAAATTCACTTAATTAAGGTTAAAAAACAGGTAAAAACTGATAAATTCAGAAAAAAGAAAACAGAAAGGAAGAAGGAAAACATTAAATTTTTCAGTTTACTAATGACCAAAACTGACCCCCCCCTCAATAAAAGCTAATGCACGCAAAGCATTCGGTAAAAAAAATTTCAGCCTCGCACGAACAGGATAAAGGTGCTTTTCAATTTACCCTCTGGTAGCTAGATAACAGGAAACTTTAGAAAAATAGAATTATGACTATTTAAATAATTTAAACATTATCAAGAAAAAGATGTACCTCATTTATGATAGATATTTAATAATGTTATTTGTTTCTTTACATTATTAAATATCTATCATAATATGTTTATATTATATTAGCATATTTACAACACAGGCATTCAAAGTTAAATTTAAACAAAAGACATTAGCCAAGAACTGATAAATTATATATGCAAATTAAAAACTTATTCTATAAAATAGCCTATTAATTCTCTCTCTCTCTCTCTATATATATATATATATTTATATGTATATGAATGAAAGTGTAAAAAACTGGCACAGAACAACCTTAAACAGGACATTTAGTAACACTGCATATGAACATCACTGATCATATCTACCAATATATACATAAAATATGAAAGTTTATAGTTCTTTTGCTTCCCAGAATGTTTGTGAAAGTTCTTTTTATCCAAAGAATGAAAAGGTTTTTAAAATTTAATTTATTAATTTGCTTGGTAAGTTGTAACATTTTGAATAAGCATGCAAAGTTGGAATTTTCACTTATGACCATTTAAAGAGTGCATCATGACTAAAAATTATTGCAAAATTTTGGATTTACAAAAGTGATGCAGTGAAAAGACTCTAGATAAATATAACCAACATCTGCTGGCAAAAATTATTTCATGTGAGAGGGGTATAGCACTGCCTCAAGTAACAATGGAGTTAAATGAGCATAAAATGTTCGCTTCCTCGTGAGTTTTAAATTCTGAAACCCAACTTCATTATCCATGATGAATGCACAATATAGCACCATGCAATTTGCTTTGCTTGGTAATTTAGAGATTGGATTGGGTGGTCACCTGACAACTGGAAAAAGCCTGGTTTCAGCAGTTATTTTTCTATTTCAGGCAAACAATAAAATTTGTGCATATGTAAGGAAAAGTAATGAACCTCATGATGCCATGGATCCTAAATGTCAACAAGAGACCACACAGAATTTGATGGCTCTGTAATGGGATGGGATCTGTTTAGCTGGCAATCTGTGCCAATCTTAGTATGTCTGCAAACACATCTAACAAGTGAATGCTGACTGTCATGTATGTTCCTTTTTGAGTCAAACTTTTTCAAGCTTGTATTCATTCTAATAGTTTTATTTGCCTCTAAGAGTAGCCACACAAATCTACAGATGATTACAGTTACAGAAACACTTATCTCTGCAGATAATGCTATACCATCCAAGCCATCACATCTCGCCATTATCAAACACATTTGAGATGCCACACAACAGGCTGTGGAACACAGATATCTTACACTTTTAAAATACGAAATTGCTTTGCAGGATGTATGTCATTTATTGTCCCTTACATGCATAGTTTATTTTTCTACAGTTAAAAGATGGTTCTGTAGAGCATTAAACTGATACGCCAGTTTTTTAATACTTCAGTATGTGTGCATACATATAAATATGCATATAGTTTCAGAGACTTAAAGATTACTCTAATTTTTAATTAAATTCAAACACAAGTTAATTATTTAATTCAAATAAAATTTAGTTAATTTTTTTATAATTTAATTATTTAGTGAATAGGAACATCTTCAAAAGACACATAAAGAAACTACAGTAAATACTAATGCGTAAACATGCCACAATGTTTAACAGAAATTTAAAGAATCTACATAAAAACTGTCCTTTTCTTTAAATTAGAAGCAACAAAACTTTTACAATTTAAATCAACTGCAGATAGTGCTTTGATCTGATTAGCATAAAGGAAATTCACCATTAATCTCAGGATTACCTTATTATTATGATTTTGCATATTTTTATAGCACGACTGAAATTTTATTAAACTTTCCCCTTCCTTTCAAAAAAGAAAATATACAACATAATTTCATAATATTCTTTAAATCACTGACTAACATCTGTTCATAAATAATTTAATACAATACAATAGTATTGAAAACAACACATATATCACAAGAGAAATCTGCCATTACAATTCCTATTATCAACATAATAAACAGAACCAAAGAATTAAAAATGAAATATGCTTTGCAAATCAAACTTTTTACAGCTTGTCTTAGATTAATACAAATATCAAAATGCACTACATTAATACTGCTGTCACCTTTATGTATTAAATTTCATACAGGGTTTACATGTAATAGGGGTGTACTAAAAGTGACACAATTCTAACACAAGGTCAAAGAACAAACTTTGTTATTCGAAATGCACATATACAAATGAAATCACAAGACAAAATATTGCTATTTACTTATTTTTCCCAATTAATTAATATACCATTACTTAATAAAAGCTACAAAAGTATACTCTTAAGATTGGATGATAAAAACAAATTCTTCAAATAACTTATGTACTTTATTTTTATAGCTCGTCATTACTCCTAAAATTGAATAAAGGCTGATTGCATGCACAAATGAGTACACAATTAGATATGTCTAAATCAGGGGGAGGGGGATCCCCAAGCTTTTTGTCCTTAAGAGCCATTTTAGAATATCTGTTGGATGGCAAACAACATTTACTTTTTCAAGGTAAATTTATAGTTGGATAGAGTTAATAATACATGTACATAAAAAAAGAAATCGGTCACATTTCACTTTGTGCTGGTGTCTGTGTTGGATGCTATTTCTATTTCATTAAAAATGAGAAAACTTTCACATAGAATTTTATTGAAAACTAAAACATTTTCATTGTGATCGCACAGTGGTAGGCACACTTTAAATGATTGGAGGGTATACAGTTGGGAACCTGATCTAAATGAATAATATTACTTCAATAAACACCACAAGCTTGAAAATCAAATCAAAATTTTTATCAAATTAGAAATACAAAATTAAAATTTATTTAAGACCTGGGGATAAGAAGTGATGAATTCAAAGAAAGGCAATAAAACTGACCATTTAAATTCTTACTGAAAACTTAAAGCAGTTAGTCCTGGAATTTAGAATATATGTAAAATACTACATAGAACACAAGGAATAAGAACAGTTTTTGTAAAATCTTGCATATACTTATTCAATGAATATTTATTTTAAACTTAAAAGAAATATGCAACATATATACAATTAATGCATTTAAAAATAAACAAAAACAACTCCACGATACTGATACAGGTGCATATTAATTACCCTAAAAGCTTAAGAATATAAAACATCAAAGTAATGAAAAATAAGTTTCAATAACAGCTTATTCAGAGTCAGCTGTTCACAGCTTTCTCTGCTAATTATTAGGCTGCACAAAATTCAAACAAAATTCTAACACTTAACATAAAAATTTAGACATATATACTGCTCTCAGATTGTTAACAGAACTACACTGCACATATGAAACTCGTTCACAGTTACATGCAAATCAAATTTAGGTGAAATTTTAATTTTAGGTTTGAATTAAACAAACATGACTGTATACCAGGGGGTTCTGAACTGGGTGGGGGAAATGTGATCAGCCTTTTATTTACTTGTCTAGGATTTAGTTTTGGTTTATGAATAAACATAAATATTTTATTAAGGTTTTGGTATTTATCAAAATTTTTCAAGCTTAATTTATGAAACACATTAAATAATAATCTAAATGTAAATAACTATATATGTATTTTTCAAATTTTGGAAAGGATGATTCTCTAGCAATGGCGAAAGTGTAGCATGGGACAAAAAAGGTTATTTTGTTTAATTATGGCAAAGCACTTAGAAAGCTATCTGCCTAAATGGAGGACTTTCGAAGGCTAACACATGGGGAAACCCATGAAAACACCATTCAGTCAGCCGATTTGCCGGGATTCGAGCCTCAGACCAGCGACTTTACCGCACGGCCCAAAAAAGGTGGAGAACCACTGCTATAATATGCAAGATTTTACAATATAGAGTACTGGTTGCAAACTGAACTGTCTTCAGAATTTTATTAGTGTTTTATTTTTTTACTACACAAAAATTAAATTCTCACGAAATGTAACTTACAATTAATTTTTAATATAATAAACTATGGAAAATTCTAAACAAAATAACCACAGATATATTGCAATTTATCATAAAAAGTACTTTTTCATTTATTATACAGTTAATAATTTATATATACCATTGAAGTATTGTGTAAAGCTTACATGATTATATTGTAACATGCTTCTAGGAGATATATAAAAATTACTTCCTCATCTGTCAAAGTATGTTTATATAAATTAATTTTTACAGTCATTAATTTTTAATTTATAGAAATTTTTTCAAAATTTATGCTTTTAATTTTAGAAATGCAAGCTCAAATTGTGCATGCTGACATAAAGGGTTTTACACAGCTATAAAAATAAAATTTAAAAAAAATTAAAAATTATAATTTAAAGCATCACATAATAAATACTGATAATTCTTCCTCATTCTCATATCAATATATTAATAACAGTAAATGATTCTGAACCATCAATTACTAAACAAATCTTACTTCTATATAACAAACAAGCTGCTCGCAACAATTCGGTAGCATTTGTTAGAAAAAATTAGATTTATATATAAAATCTGTTAATTTTAAAATGTCAAAAATTTAACATAATGTAATTTCAAAGACATTTAGACAGATGGAATCAATCACTTGCATAATTTAACAAAGAATGAGAAATGTTTTATAGTACATTTTTAAAAAAATCACTTTAAAAAGTACCCCGACACACAAATGCGCGCGTATAGCACAGTCTATCTCTGTACATGCATCATATATTTATTTATACAGCTTCATGCAAGTGTTCAGTTCTTCGAATTCGCAGCAGATGGACAAATGAGCAATTAGACGTGGTTTCAAGTTCAACACCACTACAAATTTACAAAAAACGAAATTTTAATTTGCAAGGATATTTATAATTACAAACTATGTTATAGTGAACCACTAGGCACCCATAATGCTTTACTCTGCTCTTCCTCTACACAAGATTTCACCTGAGTGCACATGTAGGCCAAATTTGAGCCTGGAATTACAGCTAGAAAATGAAAAAGGAATACTAAGCAAACAATTGCAAAATATGCATTTTAATATAAAAAATTTTTTGTGTAAAATACAGCAGTTAAAAAGCATTTTTTATTTTTTTAAAACACCACCAGTGTTCCATTACAATATTATCATTAAAAACGTTGAAAAAAAAGGAAGAATTAGATCAAGAACAAAGTACAAAATTATATATGTAATATATGCTCTCGCCAATGCCTATACACATTTCAGTAATTGAGGATTTTTACAAGAATGGAAATTCCTATATAACTTGTAAATTTAAATTTAAGGAGAGATTTAAGGAGAGAAGAAAAATTAGATCAAGTACAAAATATATACATGATATATGCTTTCACCTACGCCATACACATTTCATTACTTAAGGATTTTTACAAGAACATTCTTGTAAAAATCCTTAAGTATTCATTAAAAATATATTTTATACTTCATTTAAAACTTGTAAATTTGAATTTAAGGACAGCTTCCAGATCATTTCTTTTTTCCTGTTTTCTTCTGTCACAGATGCCAAAACTTGAAATATAAAAAATGGAAGATTCTTGTGCAAAATATGGGATTTTTGGAAGGTTTTCATGGTGTATGTCAGACCCATTTCAAGAACATCCAAATTGACTTAAATTCACTTTATACTAATTTAATCAGGTTACCAAACTATTCATAATGATCCCAATATAAAATTTATCAATTAGATATTTTAAATTTTATATTCTTTTGACTAATTTTACTGTATAATTTTCTTACACTTTTATACTGAGAAAATCCTCACTAAGGAAACAATAAAGATTTTATATATAAAAGTACCTTCAAATACAAAAATAAAAGTAATACTCAATGTACATATTATGAATTTTATTTATTTATTATTATAATATAAACTTAGTATTGTGTTATATACTGAAGCAAAACAAAAATAAATACAAATATTAACAGAATATACAATGATTGACTCTTTACGAAAAATTCTACATATGCTTATAATTAGACCAAGATAAATCAGATAAATAAAATTTAATCAGAAAAATTATGCTAAATATCACTGGGAAATGGTATTTGTACAATTTAAGTCACTAATCAGTAAAATTCATTTATTACTAGGAAACATTTTCCTTAGTTAAGACTAAAAATGGAAAAAAAAAAAAAAAAAAAAAAAAAAGGAGATTCTGTGATCTACTGTTGATTCGATAAGAGGTGTGGCTATAATCTAGGAGACAAAATTGTTCAATATTTGCATATTTAAATAACTGAAAATGAAATTCATAAGACTTCTGATGCATACTACAAAACAGAATGGATTCTACATATGATGCCACTAACTATAATATTATGAAGAATTATTAGAATAAAATGTTAAACAAGTCTATATTGATACAGTAAAATTACAGAATACAAACTTTTTTTTTTTACACCCAAAAGACATGTTAGTCATAAAACATGATTTTGCATTTTTTCATCTTTCATCCAAGTCTGTTGCCATTCAGAAAAATGTAACATATTATTCTTTCACATTCAGTCTGATTGCTATTAATTAACAAACTGAACTATTTAAAAGCAATAGACACAGTCTTCAAAAATACGATTTTTTTTTTTTTTTTACTTCTTAATAGGATTGATTTAAATATATATGCATTTAATTCATGATATATCTAATTAAAAACAATACATGTTTTTACAGAATTATGTTATATATCTTTTTTTCATTTTTTACATATACAGAAACTACACAATGTCCCCATGTTAGTCTAAATACATATTCATTTAGTATCCTATAAAATGATCCGCTGCGACCCCTGAGCCATCTCTATCGATAAATCTTGACTGATAAACAAATTTAGGGCAATTGCTAAAATCTAAACCTTTTCAGAAATTCTGAAACTGACTGTATAAAATCACATATTATAACTTGCTGATTCTAGGAACACCAAAATATCTGAACAGTGATGATAGGGTACCTTAAGAGGTGACTTATTGTTCAGCTGCACTAGTAGAATAAGAGGATACGAGTGTGATATTATCAACACAGGGCCACTTTGCTAAAACCACAGTGGCTCTATAATGGCAAAAGAAGCCTTCTTATGGGATATCTCAACACATCTGGACAGTTCTTTATGCACTATCACGAATGTGCTCCTGCATTCTGTCATGCCCTTCATGCATCCTGAAGGATTCGGCAATACGATCTATCACTCAACCATACCATTAAATTCAGGAATAGTTAAGAAATATTTGTATGAAATCCAAGCATGTTTTTGCATTGCTTTACCTTTTTTCAAGTGTGTTGCCATTCAGAAAAATGTAACATAGTATTCTTTCATATTCAATCTGTCTGTTATTAATTAACAAACTAAACTATTTAAAGGTAGTAAACTAAACTACTTAGTTTATATTACATTTTACTTTTGATGTCCCATGATTTAAATCCAGCTGAAAACAGACTAACAGTACATCTAATATTAATGTCCAAGATCAAGTCAGTATCTAGGACACAGTTGTGACAAAGACATACGACAGAGTTGCAAGCCAAACTGCAATACATATGGCTTGCATTTACTCCAGAAATTCTCAGCATTTGATGCAGTCAATACTTTAATGTGCACATGCAAACTATCACTGTGCTATTAGAGCAATGGATATTTAATTAATGAAGTATCTTTATTGTTCATTGTATAAATATCTAGCTAAAAATTTGTGTAATACGTGTATAAGAAATAAGCTTTTGGAAATAATAAATAACTAAAAAAAATTAGTTTTAATCTACTCAGATTACCTTCTTCATTGCTCAGAAACAGCATTTTTTGAAAACTGTTACAAATACAGCATTACAGTCAAAAGTCGTTAATTCGGACACCCATAATCCGGAATGATCTATAATCCGGACCTCAAAGCTACAAACTTTCTGCGCATGCGTCGCGTTCACGCATGCGCACAGGCGTTTACGAGAGTGCATAAGACCCTTACAGCTGCGAATATGTTTGTGCGCATGCGCGTTTAATGTGTAACGGAGTTATACGCTAAGCTAAAGTTATCTAATTCAGTTAATGTTGCAGATTGCGTTGTTCCTTAATCTTCGAATTGGATCCGGCTTATTTTTTGCAGACTGTTAGAGCAATTTTATAAAAGTAAGCTTGAACTTTCGATTATGTCAAATAGAATTTCCGATATATATTTACTACAAAGCGAAAGTATGTTTTGAAATCCGAAATCTGTTTATCAATTTCACGCTGCTCTGCCACGCTGCGGATTGGAAGTTGATCTGTCAGCACTATCCTTATCTTCAGAGCAGATGTTTTTATTTTATTTGGTTTATAATTCTGTACTAAGTGTAGTATTTCATCTCGATATACTCCGTTGATATGATTTAAATCAAGTTCCTCGTTGTTATTCGCTTCCCATAGTGAAGAAAGTGACCCAGAGGTTATTGAAAACGAAAACATTTCGATTGACAAATTAGTCGGAATTCTCAAACACAGCAATTATAGGACTTGAACAGCGGAACTTTGTAACTAAACAAGAAATTATGTCTGTTTAATAGAATTAAAGAGAAAGTATTATCACATGAAACGAAGCAACTTGCATTGAAGGAAATGTTTAATAAAGTAAACAAATAAATATTAAGCTTTTTCTTTTTGTAAATTTTGATACCCTTTAGATCATAATTGTTCTTTATTTCATAAATTACGGTTTCATATTTTTAATTTTGTAATTTCTGCATGCCATCTTACCAGATTTAAACTGATGATCTATAATCCGGAAAAATCGACAATCCAGAATCGAAGTCCCGATGAGTCCGGATTAACGACTTTTGACTGTATTACTCTATAGCATTGCACACAGGTCCTCATTTTTTAATATTGCATGTCTTAAAAAACCTTCAATAATAAATTTCTAATGAAAGGATAAAAAAAAACTTTATAAATAAAAATAATGCCAATTTAATCATGACATTTTCTAACAGATCAATCAAAGCAATGCTATTTAAAGTGAATTCACAAGATAAACATTTCACAAAACTTAAACTACATAAAATTAAAAAAGAATAAAAATATCAATATTAAAGCTGTACCATTAATGAGCTGCTTATATTCACTCTCTATTTTCAAGGCATGTTCAAACATTTCTTTAGCAGCTTTAGTAGTGACTTTTTCTGTTAAATAACGAGAATCCTTAACTTCCCTAAAAAAAGTATTAATATGAATAAAACAGCGCAACAGAAAGAGATTTCAGTGATGAAATTAACAATTCATGAGCAAAAAATATGACAATTTACCTTATTTGTTTTGTAGATTTATATTTTAAAAATATGACTATTGGGTAGATCATGCATTGGTTTAAACGTTCCACTGCTGAAAGACTACAATCCAAAAGAGCATGACAGTTCTATAAAAGACAAGAATATAAAATTTAAAAAAAATTCATTTTAGGTTAATATAAATGTGCACTGTTATCATGTATTAGGAAAACACTCTTTAAACTTATCATAATATTTTAAAGCTTCATTAACCCCCCCCCAAAAAAAAGGGTTTATAGTAAAATACCTTAATACTAATACAAAGCAAAATGGAATGGATATATCAAATGTTCATGACTTCTTATAGTACTACAATAGCTAAATATTAATACATATAGTATATACATTAATACATATTGAATCAATACAATGTAAAAAAGAAAGAAGTTCAAAACCCATTTATATCAAAGCACACATTAAGGCTAACTCAGTGCTCCAAAAGGAAAGGATTAATTTTTTTGCTATGCATCTTACTTGTTTTTTAGTTCAAAGGGCGTTAGCCCAGAAGGGCTATTAATTTAGTTTTGGCATTTTGTGATGATTCACTTTCTAGATTGCTGCCATCAAATATTGCAGTCCTGAATTACAATAAAAGAAATTAAATAATGAAGAATCTGCATCAGTGTATTTATGTTTCTTGCATTGTGATAAAACATGGGTACATGGAGCCATCTAATTTTGGATAACGTAATCCTCCAACGAATAATAAAGGAATCTGGAAGCCCTAATTTTGAATTTGTTTTCTTATTGATTTCATATTTTGTCAGACACTAAAGAATTTCGTATTAAGAAACTCAACGATTTCAAAGCCAGCAATGGCAACACTGTAAGGGAATTTTTTTTTTATCTTCAGCGCACGAGACTGTGTATTGGCAATTCTAAAGATATGCTCATTTTAAAATTACTTTGCGATAATGCTGTTGAATTGAATTTTATGGTTTAAATGCGAAGAATATGATATGTAATCAATAAAGTGAGCAATGGCAACGTTGTATGGAAAAAAACATTTTTATCTCCAGCAAGCGAGACTGTGTATCAGAAATTCAAAAGATATGCAGTTTGGCTGTTTTTATACGTTTTGTGAAATTGCTGTTGAATTGAATTTTATGTGGTTTAAGTGAAAAGAACATGATATTTAATAAATAAAGGCAATACGCAAAACGTTAAAAAAATACCCTTTTAGGCATAATATAAAATCTGAAAGCTTTCAGATTTTTTTTTTTCCTATTTAATTGGGCTGTGTATTTATCATATCAATTTGTGTTTTTTGATAAGATATTTTTCCTATTTCTTCAGAGATAGAAAAGCTAAAAAATATAAAATATATAAAAGTTTCACAGCAATGCAGTACTTTTGTAATGAAGAGAAGGGGGAGGACTATAGAATAAGAAGTAATTCACTTTATCTCTGTAATTTAATGTAATTTAATAACCATGATTGGCTATAGCCTGAGTGTTAATAACATTTTTTACATGAATTTGATTTTTTAATCTATTTGTAAAATACAATCAGTGTAACATTGATCATATTTTACATGCTGAATGAAAAAAAAAAAAATTTAGAAATAATCGATATCTTACTTTAGCTAAACTAGTTTACACATAATTCAATATTTTGCACATGAGAAATAAAGAATTAAGATGAATAAACAGTTACATTGCAAACAGTAAATGCATAAGGTTTCATAAGAACATAAAAATATGCAAGTTTGCTCATTATTTAACTACAGCCGATTTTTGAAGAGTAAAGTTTTTAAACTCAGTTGATGTTATACACATTTTAGTTTTATTTAATTACAGAATGCTTTCTGAGAGATTTCAGCAATTTAGAAAAATCTGATGTGTACACCACGACTTCCTTGTACGGAATATTAAATTATTCGCATTTTTTCTTGCATTTCATTTAAACTTATTGGATTGAATTAAATCTACTTCGTCAACAGCACATAAACCACAACAGAATAAATGCATTCTTTTAATTTATTTGTTTACCATTTATTTGTTTAAGTCTATTTGTTTACCATAGCGACACTCTGGCCCTAGGTTCACTTAACAGTATTATAGTTCGTTCATATTATAACTCAGAATGCACAGAATTTATATCATTTAAAGAATTATCTAATCATTGCCACGTTCTATTCAAATACTATAATAAAGCTAGAATGATGTAAAAAAGAAATTAAGCAAACAAAACAAAAAAGAAACAGTTTTTCACAGACGATTGAGTACTTCTCATTCAATTAATTCAGTTCTCACATTGCGACAATTCAAAAATACATGAAAAAGTCAAAATATCTGTATTAATAACAATTACGAAGTAAATCTTAAACACTTATTTCCTCTAAAAAATTTCCAGAAAGGAATTAAGCATGATTTAATTCTCAATAATTAAATGAAGGCGTTATCTTTGTTGTTGAGCAGCTTAGTTGTCTCTAGGATTAGCAACAAATCCACTCATTCCGCTAAGTTTCAAATGTAAACATACATGGCCGCCATCAAAAAATTACGTAGGCTTAGACGGCACTTAAACACATTTTTAAATTGTTGATAATTCTTAAAATATTGCATACAGATTTACTAAAGGCATAAAAACCTTAACTGGAAGATAAGAACAACATAATTCAATCATTTTTAAAGAAAAAAAATCGCCAAGTGAAATTTACAAACATATAAGAGTAAAGATACTGAGATCACTGAGCCGGGTAACAGAGTGGATATATATATAAATATATTTATATACGTTTGGCGTGGCCGATTGCAACCAAAATACGAGGTGCACATCTACATGTATTAGCAGTCATACAAAATTTCAGCGTTCTGAGGCTACTCGTTTTTTAGTTATGTGAGATATGTACATACTTTCATACAGATGCCACGAAAAATTCTCTTCAGAATTCATTTTAAAGCAGTTTTATAATTTTTTTGGAGGAAAAGAGTCTTTTATTCTGTTCTTACGTACAGATATCGCACAAAAACATCGTTAAATTTAATTCGATAGCGGTCAAAATGGATATTTTCGTTGAAATATGCTGCCTGAAACTTTTCGCAACTACAATACTTCCTTTTTACTTCGTACAAGGAAGTAAAAAGTAGTAGACAAAATAAGTAACTTACCAAGCAGTAATTGTAATAATAATAAGAAAATTAAATCCTCTCCAAAGATTGAAAGTGTTCATATTTTAATGATCGACCAAAAGTTTAATATGGGTTTCTGAGTAGAGATTATCGACAGAGATCGCCCAAGTGAAACCTTTTTTTAGAATGTTAGATGAATATGTGTTTAGACTAATATCAACAATATCTTCTGCATATTTAAAAAGTGGAAAATATGTAATGCAATTCTATAAAAATATTTAATGCTTTTAATGAGATATATCATGAAGTAAATGCATTTTTATTTAGATCAATTAGATTAAAACGGAAAAAATAATTTTCTTAAGAATTGCATCTACTGCTTTTAAACAGTTTAGTTTGCTAATTAATGACATGCAAATTAAATATGAAAGAATAATATCTTATATTTTTCTGAATAGCAGCAGGCTTGAATAAAAATTGACATAAAAAAATGAAAAGTTTAAAGTGAAAAATGCAAAATCAAATTTTGAAACTAATAGAGAAAAAAAACTGTTAAGAAAAACTAAAATTTGACAAGTTGTAAACACACAAATAGGTGAACACTTATACCTGCTGTTCTAATAATAATAATAATAATAATAATAAATGTATGCTTAAAATTAACGCTAATGTACTCTCAAAATTTCATCAAGCGAGTTCATCACCTTATGTATCTCACATTTTATAATGTCTAATCATTTACTATCTCTGTATCTCTTAGTTTGGAGTATTTGGCAACAGATACTTGATTATTATTCAAAACAAAAGCTTTTCTCACTTGCAAACACCTTTACAATACTTCAAGGAATGTGTACATTAGTAGGAGTATCACTAAGCATTACTACCTTTACAGGAAAATTTGGTAACATACTTCAGACCTTAGAATATCTCAAAATAATGCGACACTCATAGCAATGGAAAAAATCGCGTTCAAACTTAAAAAAAAAAAAATAAACGTCTAAGTCTTCACTAATACAAAGAAATGAAATACTTATTAAAACAAAAATTAATTTTGACTTATTAAGGCAAAACTAATACTTATTAAATTATTAATTAATTTAATACTTATTAAAAGAAAAACAATTTTCTTGGAGATTTATATTTTTGCACAGCAAACTGATACTTTCACACAGTACAGTAAGACCCCGCTTAACGCTGTTTCGGTTTAGCGCTCTTTTATTTCAACCCGGGGATTCCACGAAATCGTTCGCAGCATACGGGGATTCCACGAAATATTATGCAGCGATAGGTTTCAAATACATATCCGAAAGAGTGTACTTGTATTTCTTGTTTGGTGCGGTATTGTACAGACATATTTTGAAGGGGTAAATGTGGAAGATGTCGAAGAAATAATTCAAGAAGCAGCGGCTAGTCTTTCTAATGATGAGCTCAAGGAATTAACTGAACAAGAAGAAAACAAAAATGTTGACAGCAGTGACTCAGAAGAAGAGCAAAAAGAACTTTCGATGGCGTTTGTAAAAAGGAGTTTGTCTACCATAACTGAAATAATGGATCAATTCATTGAAAATGATCCGAATTTTGACAGGAGCTCAAAAGTAAGGCGTGGTGTTAGAGATGCTCTATCCGTTTATGAAGAAGAACTTTTAAGAGAACAACGCAAAAGAAAAAGGCAAACAACATTAGATGCTTTTGTCACAAAAAAGGCAGAACACTGAAAGCGTGGAAGGCTAACTAAATATGACTGACTGAGAATTTTATTTGTTTTTTTTAAGAATATTCGTTTTGTTATTTATATTTTGTTTTTATTTTTGCAAGAAATAATAATGTGGTATTAATTTGGGCTTTAAGAAATAAATGTTTGGTTTTATTTTTATTAAAAAAACATACTTTTTAAATTTAATACCTAACCAATTTCCTAGCCATCTTCCCCTAACCTCAATATTTACATGTAAAGATAGCCTCGTTTAGCGCTGTTTCGCATTACGCTCTACTTTGATGGAACGTATCCCCCACATTAAGCGGGGTTTACTGTAATTAAATACAATTGTGCTGCATACAAGCAAAAATACAAAACAGAGATAAGGAGTACCTATAACAATAAAAGAACATTTTAGTAACCGAACCTTTTGGACAAGATAATTTTTTTAAATCAATATGTTACTGGCATTGAATTCCGTGATTCTATGGAATGCATTGGGTATTATGCCTAAAGCTAGCCAGCAATCAATGAAACGATTGATATTTCACCCATTTCCTAGACATTTTATACAATGCTAAATGAGAAACCATGCATTCTATAGAATACCAGCATTTCATTCTTTGTCGGAAAAAAATACACTTTCAAAATAAGTATATTTAAATAAGCAATTTTAATGATAGCATACAGAGTTAATAAAGTGTCAAGGGAAATCAATTAATTGTAATTTCTTTCCGACTTTCCAAATGAAACTGACCCATGCTTATCATGTATCAAGAAACCATCAAAACACTGGAGAAGTATAACCAGTCTACCACCATAATTACTAATGCAGAAATAAATTAGCTCTGTTTAGCCATCAACCATCAAGAGAAAAAATGACACATAACAGGAAATATACTGCCTAAAAGCCAAGATTACTTTTTAATGATGAATAAAACTTCATAAATACTCACTTTATCACAGAGTTGTTTTATAGCTACAACGGTAGTACACTCGAAATGATTTCCACGCCTTCGGAAATCTACAAACTTCAGTTCTTGCAGCCCACGTTCCATCATTGAAAGAGATCCTTTCATTTTTTCTGGAATGCACCGTTGGAAAACATGGGGAAAATCTTGCTCCAACTGGTCTACCACAGCTTCCATTAATGGCCCCACAATAATGACTGGGCGACAAGATTCATCTAAAAATAGATGTTTATGAAATAAACATGCAAGTTATGATAAAAATAACAATTCAATGAGTAAATAAATTTTACCACTGCCCATTAAAGTTGCAGTACCAACAAGCACAAAAGATAACACTACTAAAATTATTTAAAAATTTCTAACAATACAAAGGCAAAATCACTAAAATTTTAGGTATATTGGACAAGAAGAATGTGTCATGACATACACTATCTGAAATCCAAAACTATTTTTTAATCATTATTGCCACTATGAACAAGAAATACTATGACTGTATTGCAAGATATATAATTCAAGAGACTTTGAATGCCATTTCAGAATACTGCAATAAAGACAAGTATAATTTGTTGTCAGACTTCATCTGCTGTAGCCTCAATGATATTCTGCTGAAACTGCAATGATATGGTGGTCCTTCTCATATTAGTATATAACTGTGTCACTACAAACCAGATCTGTTGAATCGATAAAAATCTCATGAAGTGCCAACTACGGCAGAATCATAAACTGCTGTGTGTCAAGATGTGTTAAACACTCACACTCAATGTGTGACTACACACTGCCTTGTTGGAAAGTGGCTATAGGGTACTTCTGAACATTGAGGAGAACAACAGGCTTTAAGATGCTTGTAATATAATGCTGACTAATCATAGTATCAGATATGTAAAAGACCAATATCTGATTATATTGGATCATATAAAAAATCTCTGCATTATTTTGCCACTAGATGGTATTGATGCCTATATATCTGGCAGCACTCACCTGATTGTCTCAAATGAACATGTGCTTGAAAGGTGACATTCAGTTTCCATTGTTTGTGAAGATAGTTTTCTAATTTGTTGCTCATGTCAAAAGTTATATTAATTTGAAAATGAGTGAAATATCTGAAGAAGTATGATATGTGATGCTTTTTTAACTATAAAAAAAGGTAAAAAATGCTTTGAAAACATGCCGAAAAGTTTGTGAAGTGTACGGTGAGAATGCTCTGAGTGAATGAAGGACCCAGCAGTGGTTTGCTTGATTCCAAGCGTGAAATTTCGATGTCGAGATTGGAAGGGAATTGTCCATTATGAGCTGCTGCAACCTTGCAAAACCATCAATTTGGCTCTCTACTGTACACAACTGTTTGAACAAAGCAGTCCAGAAAGGGCAACCAGACTTCGCCAACAGAAAGGGAGTTGTGTTCCATCATGACAATGCGCGGCTACACACATTTTTGATGACTCTGGCAGCAATCACCAGAACAAACTAATTTGGTTGGGAAGTTTTGATGCACCCACCGTATAGCCCAACTTTGCACCATCTGTCTACCATTTGTTTCGGTCTCTGCAAAACTCTCTTGATGGTAAAAAATTGGCCGACCGAAGCGCTGCTGAAAATCACTTGGCCAAGTTTTTGACGATAAACCACAGAAGTTCTACATTGATGGAATTATTAAGCTACCCAAGAAATGGCCAAAGGTCAGAGATAATAATAGTCAATATGTAGTTGATTAAAATTGATTTTCAATAAAGAAAATATTTGTTTAAAAACGTACCAAAAAGTGCAGACTTTTTATATGACCCAATATCTAATGCTATAACTCCAACAGTTGGGCTTGTATGGCAATGCATAAAGCAAATTCAAATGAGTATCTCTCATAGTAGCGCTACACGCGCACACACACACATACCCATCATTATGTTATAAACAAAAGCAGAATTCATCTAAAAAAATGAGGTCACGAACCATTTATACATCCACAATCCATCTCCAGAATTTAACACACTGTTGTAGCAGCAGATACCTGTGTTGCACCATGAAATGCAGGCAGGCAACACAATGTCAGCCATATAAACAGGTCAAGACCTTCAAGATGTCTCACTGCACATGTAGACATTTCTTGCTATGCCACACAGCATACTTCCTGTGTTAGGGCGTATGATACGACTAAAGTCCATTTGCACATGTTTGTCTTCTTCGGACAATGTCTGCATGTCACTATGTGTCCTTCTAGTTCCATATTTGCATTATAGTTGTAAAATTTTGAGTAATATCAGCAGCAATTTGTGATATGTTAATCTGTAGTCGCAAAATGCTATTATTTTCCTATGAAAAAGTTTTGACACTTGTTGTTGCTATATATTCTGTCTTCTTACTTAAGGCATACTCTTAATTAAACAAGGAAAAATGTATGAAATTCATAGATTCATTTAGAAATCCCTCCTCTCTTCTTCTTATTTATAATTATTCTAGGTGTTATTACTGGACCCTATTACTTTCATAAGCACATCAACGATAACCATTTCCATATCCTTATGTTCTGATGCAAATTTTGTCTTGATTGCTTGCATTCTTCATCCTGCTGCTTTGTTAATAGCTCATAGTTCAATTAAAAATGTACAACCATTTGTTGCATTTTATACGTAAAAGAGGTTTTGTTTTATACTGTATCCATATTTTACTTTATTTTATATTTTTGAAATTTACTTTTAGACACAAAAGGACAACAGCAATGTTTTCTTAATTAATGTTTTACATGCATATAGCATACAGATGTCCATAAAATAGGATGCAATTCTTTCTTTTACTAAAAAACTATACTCAATGTTCAGTTCCACGAATGTCTTGTTTCATGTTACAACATTCTGTTAGCTGAATATTTCCGTTCAAAAGGGCTAAATCATTCTGTATTGAGTCACCATACTGAATGGCTGGTAGAAGTGCTTATTACCACAATTGTTTTCCCTCCAGAACTTGAATTTTTCTTATGTTATTACTTAAGCTTAAACATTAAAAATTAGATTAGTTAAGTATAAACATAACACAAGTAATAAGACATAACTGAAATTTTTGAGCCACTCACATAAGTTTGCTAGTGATGTAAGTGTTAATAATTTACTACAGTACAAAGTCCGTAATCCGGACTCGTCGGGAGTTCGGCGATTCCGGATTAGGAGTTTTTCTGGATTATAGATCATCAATTTAAATCTGGTAAGAGGGAATGCAGAAATTATACAATTAAAAATATGAAACCATAATTTATGAAATAAAGAAGAATTATGATCTAAAGGGTATCAAATTTTACAAAAAAAAAAAAAAAAAAAAAAAAAAGCTTAATATTTATTTGTTTACTTTATTAAACATTTCTTTCAACGCGTGCATGCATAAAGCATACCAAAAAAAAAGTTTGTGGCTTTGAGGTCCGGATAATGTATGTCCGGATTACAGACTTTGAACTGTATAACATTATTTTAATACTGGATATTTTTCCTTCTTATTGCTTACAAAGTTAGAGGTTCAATCAAAACAGATGCCCTTTTTTTTTTGGTTAATAAGCAAGCATTTAGTAATTGAAGAATTAATAATAAATACAGTTAAATGAAATTGAATATGATGAAGTTTTACTAGTAGGAAAATACAATTCTTATTTTTTAAGAATACAAAAATAACTTTTACGAAGCCATCACGTAATGAGAGTATCACACAAAATAATTCTTACAGTGCTGCTTCTCAACTCTCTGATACGTTAGAGGCATTCACCCAAAATACCGGAATCACTGCAACTATTGATAGAAACATCAGAAAAAGAAGCTAATTCTTTGCTATCTCTCGAATTACTCCGATGGTGGCGTTTCCGTCGAAAAAAACTACGCCTCGCAGCTGTCGATCCCCTTCGACCACCATCTGCTCCTTCGAGATCACCGATACTCTTTTTCATCATCAGTTCTTCTTCTACCCTATATATATTAAATAAAAGATTCAAAGATAAATACATGTGTTTTAGCAGTATTATGCACCTTGCAGCAAAGAAACGATCGCTTTAAATCAATGATAAAAAGACTTTTCAGGTAACAAGTAATATAGCTTAATTTAATAACAATATCAAAAGATACTTAGTAAAATTAAATTGCACAGCCTGTTTTGCAAAGACATTCTAAAATCTAATTTTGGAAATTAAAGAGATTTTGTTCTGCTGCACACTATTCTAGTACCTTTATTAACATATTGGGTCATCTCATAAATATTTTTTTTCTTCTTCAAATGCATGAACTAAATATCAGAGGGGGATGGGCCATACTACCTGCATCAACTTATTATAAAAGCAGGAAAAATTTCACTTGTTCTTCTCAGCACAAGTTCTCAAAAGTGCAGTTAAATTTTCACAGAATTTTTTCAAAGCTACAGTAGAACAGACAATAGAGCACATCTGGGATATTTTGCTTAATGAGTTCAATAAAAGCAAATGCATATGGAACATTAATGCAATGTATGAGGATCAGGCAATAAGCATAAACCAATATCAATCATGGTTCTGAAAATTCTCAGCCAGAAACTACAGCCTAGAAGATGAACCTTTTCCTGGAAAACGTATCGAGCTTGATGAAAACATCCTGCGAACCCGGCTGGAACAAAATCTTTTCATAACTGCTGAGGAACCAGCAGAGTATGAAAGAGAACATATTTTAAAATAAAAAAGAATTTTAATTTTTAAACATAAAAAAGCATATAAAACAACATTATTTAAGGAATGACCCAATACTAATAAAACCATTTTTATAATTTCAAATAAATTAATTTCTCTAAAAAGAATTATTATTTGTATTAAGAGAAGAAAAATTACAAGCTATACATTTAAAATAGGTTTAAAAAAATTAATATTTAATTCATAACATTATGACCTTAAATTTAGTTTCATTTTAGCAAAGAGGAAAAATACCTCCTTTTCTATAGTTTTATATGACATTCTAAAATCTAAATTCGTTTGAATCATATGTTTTATGCAATGATATTATTAATAATATTTGTTTTTAAATTAAAAATTCTACTTGGTCACATAGTATGGAATATTAACATTACATACTGATAAAAATTTGGTCAGAGTGTTCAGGATATTTCAGTAACATTATAGTTTAACTGCAGAGAGTGTATGTATCAGCACACATATTTATAAATCAGACCTACTCATTTAAGAAATAAGGAGGTCTGATTAGTAAGCAAGGGAAAGACTACAACATTTTATTTTTCAGTAAGAACTTTCAAGAAATTGGATATGAAAGTTTATCTGAAGCATAAGATGGGAAGGCTGAAAAAAATCATTCCTACATACTCATGTTAAAAGATATTACTTCTCAGATGCATGATTTTCTTAATGATACTCTTGCAAAATGAATTTAACTGATTTGGCACAATGCCAGCCAGGGATATGCTACAAATGTTCATGCAATAAGCTGTTCACACAAATCTGATAGAACGAACACTGAATATTAACAGCTTATATGAATATTATTCCACATCAAGTGCATCTAGTGACAAACATTATCTTTACTGAGATATACCTTTCAGTAAAATATTTTTTAACTATAAAATTCAACTAATTTGGCAACTACTTAAACAGCATAATAGAGTTGGTGTATATCTCTCTGAGCGGTATGATCGGCTTTTGTCACTTGATATATATTAGCATATAACTTGAGATAGTTTGCTTTCTTACTTTCTTTAATAATGTAAATGTAATCTTAATGAATGTAAGTTTATGAAAATAGTGGCTAAAATAAGTAATTATATAAATTTAGCTAATAAATGCTGTACAAATACAGGTCTTCATGATGCATCCAAAAACCCGTGCCGCTCAGAGGGATATTTCCATATCAATACAACCACCTTAATAGAAGTTGCCAAACTTTTAGAATGCACCAATCTCTTGTAACAATTCTTCAATTTTTAACAAGCAACATTGTCATTTTTGAATACAGTCAAAAGTCGTTAATCCGGACTCGTCGGGACTTCTAGGATTCCGGATTATAGATCATCAGTTTAAATCTGGTAAGATGGCATGCAGAAATTATAAAATTAAAAATATGAAACCGTAATTTATGAAATAAAGAATAATTATGATCTAAAGGGTATCAAAATTTTTTTTTTTAAAAAAAAAAAGCTTAATATTTATTTGTTTACTTTATTAAACATTTCTTTCAATGTAAGTTGTTTAGGTTGCTTCGTTTTTATGTGATAACACTTTCTCTTAATTCTATAAACAGACATAATTTCTTGTTCAGTTACAAAGTTCTGCTGTTCAAGTCCTATAATTGCTGTGTCGAGAATACCGACTAATTTGTCAATCGAAATTTTTTCGTTTTCAATAACCTCTGTGTCACTTTCTTCGCCATCGGAAGCGAATTATAATGACAAGGAATTTGATTTAAATCATATCAAAGACAGAGTACATCGAGATGAAATACTACATTTAGTAGGGAATTATAAGCCAAATAAAATAAAATCATCTGCCCTGAAGATAAGGATAGTGCTGACAGATCAACTTCCAATTCATTGCGTGCCGCGGCATTAAAATAATTAAAGTGGAAAAATATTAATCCTAAGCACATCAAAAGACAAAATTTAATAAAAACATAATAAAAATTTAACTTACTTGTACTTGCTTGGAATAAAACCACACTTAATTTTTTCTCCTTCTTCATCTACAAGCCATGCCTGCCACAATCCAGGAACACCATTATACATGGTATTGTCTACATATAAAATGTCATCTTTTTGGAATGCTAAAGACCCATTTATACTTATTCGGTCAAACATGGCACGGATGTAGAATGAATCACCAGGTTGATCCTGGATTTCTTGATACCCTAGAAAGTTAAACATAATTTTAAATTTCTTTTATGGTACCTATTATATAACTATTAGCTTAAACAACTGAATAAAAGAGGGTTTTCAAACTTCAATAATTCAGATTAAATATTTTATCTAAAAGCACATTAACTCATAAACAAATCCACATGAATTATATATTATAGATACAGTCCAAAATCAGGACTCGTCGGGACTTCGGCGATTCCAGATTCTTCTGGATATTAGATCATCAGTTTAAATCCAGTAAGTTGGCATGTAGAAATTATAAAATTAAAAATATGAAATCCAGATTTATGAAAAAATAAAGTATTTATGATCTAAAGGGTATCAAAATTGACAAAAAATGCTTAATATTTATATGTTTACCTTATTAAACATTTCTTTCAATGTAAGTTGTTTAAGTTTTGCTTCGTTTCATGTGATAATACTTTCTCTTTAATTCTATTGAACAGACATAATTTCCTGTTCAGTTACAAAGTTCCGCTGTTCAAGTCCTATAATTGCTGTGTCGAGAACACCGACTAATTTGTCAATCGAAATTTTTTCGTTTTCAATAACCTCTGTCACTTTTCTTCGGTATCGGAAGCGAATTATAATGACAAGGAACTTGTTTTAAATCATATCAAAGAAATTATGTCTGTAGACAGACATAATTTCTTGTTCAGTTACATTGCTGAAGTCCTGTAAGTGCTGTTTCGAGAATTCACACTAACATGTCAATCGCAATTTTCTCGTTTTTAGTAACTTTTCTGTCACTTTCTTCACTATCGGTAGCGGTATTTCTGGATTTAGAACCATACTGCAGATTTCACCATTCATTAATTGATTGATGATTGAGAAACATTTTCATCACATTGAAAAACTTCTTTTATATCATCTTCATTCTCCAAATACCGCTTCTCCAAATTTTTTTACAAAATCCGTTAATTGGAAGATTTCACCCTTGTTTTGCGATATCCGAAAACGTTTACATTAGTGGCTATCATCGTCAAATTTAGCTATCCTTCACTATACATACTTGGCTATGCATCATGAGCTTGGCGACTAATGACAAGTCGTTCCATTAAACATTATCTAGCTTCTATTGTGAAGTGAGACAATTAAGCATGAATTTCTGACTGTTATTAATTTCATAAAATAAATGCTTTTTTTATTATTCCAGTCTTGAGTGTTCATCACTTCAAGTAATATTTTTAAATTATTTCAGCTTTGGAGAATGTAGTATTTTAAGACCTTTCTCATTTAAACAATTATTTGTGAAATATATAAGAACATATCCAAGAAGCTGCCTATGATTACAAAAATAAAAGTTAATAAATATATAAGCACTTAATTGCTTTTATATTATAACTTCCTTTTTACTTTGTGCCAAATTATAATTCAAATAAAAACAGGTTTTTTTGATAAATATTTATAAATAATAATTTTAAATATTTATTAGCAGTAAAATTGGCATTCTCCCAATAGGCAATTTACCTTAGTTAACTGTGTAGCTGCTTTATGGATTGACTGGTGGCATCACTAAAATTGTTGTTTTTACAAATTTTTTTTTTCCTTGCGCAATTTCATTCATATTTGCACGGTCAGATTTATTATTATTTAATATCAATATTTTTTATGTTTTGCAAAATATTTATTTCTTTTGCTGTCGTTTATGCTGTGTATAAAAATATAATTCCAGTGTGCACATAAAAGGGTGATAACAAATTGATAACAAAGCTTTGAAGACAGCATTTTAAAAACTCTTCACAAATTGAATGGAAAAATTGTACATGAAAGAAACGATAAGCATAAACATTGCTTTTACAAAGAAAATAGTCTGAAAAACAAGTGGCGGCACCTAGAATACAACTGATAAACTAACTAATGGAATTCGGTAGATCGCTAGTTGCGACAATACCGTAAAATTGATATTCTGTGCCATTTATAATTTCACAAAATAAATACATAAAAGAAGCATTTAATAATATTAGGCTTTTCAAATTAATTTTTGATAAAATAAATAAATTGGAGGCTCGTTTTTATTCCACCAAAACATATTTCAACTAATTAGTCTGTTATTTTGGAGCATGTTTAGCATACAAATGTAATTTAAATCTTTCAGTAATAAACTACAGACACCACAGCAATGATTATAATAAAAAAAATAATTTAATAATTATGAACGAACAAAACTTTCCTTATGTTCAAAAATTGGATATTTCAAAAATTTTTTATTAAAGAAAGGAAAAAAGACTACAAAAATTTTACAAATAAAGTATGAAAAAATTATGTTAGTGTGTTGCTTAAATTTATGTCTCGAATGTTATGCTACACAGACTCATCTACACAATAATTTTCTCTTTCAAGTAATGACTCCACTATGTAACTGAAAGTGTGGTACATACTGCATAAAACACAGAGACTCCATTATATAGTGCATAAAACAGATAACTGTTATCGAAATATTATACAAACCTCAATATTTTTCAATATATTCAACTTTATTCATTTGAAAATACTCAACCTCATTTTAGTGGTATGTAGTGAATATGTTTTGGCCTCCTCGGTGATTGTGGTGATTTGTGCCCAGAGGGCGCACCGCACAAAAAGTTAGTTGCGTTACAGAACGTAAGGGAAGCGGACACGCCAAAATGTCGGGCGTATTACCGCTAATTGAGGTAATTGCATCGTATCTGTCAGGTGGCAGAAAACTAGTATGATGTATCAATTCACATGCCAGGTGGCAGAATATGTCTATCATGTACATGCCAGGAGGCATAACGCTTGTAAATATGCCAGGTGGCATATGACTTGTAAATAAATTGTAAATAAATGTACAGTAAAATATCTTGGTGCAATAGATCAAGGAACAAGCATCAACAACCTTCTGATCATTTGGATACGTACATTTTTTCTGGTGACCCGGACGTGATTTGTGGAGATGAAGAATGGACGAAGAAAATTAGTGAGTTCATGACTGAAAAGCCAGGATTTAACGCGAAGAAATTCGAGGTAGGCCCTTTTTCATTTTTCCAGTTTTGAATAGAATTGTTGAATAAAATCTAGGTGATTATTATAGTTGATAGAATCTAATGGTAAAATGGAGGCTATGAATAAGGCAAAGAAGTTGCGTACGGTGATGCGTAACTTAACTACCAAGTTGATGAGTAAAATAGATTCTGCATTGTTAGAAGAGGGTGAAACCGCGGATGAGAAATTAAAAGAATTACTCGAAATGTTACTTGAAAAATCGCAGTTGTTGAAACAATACGATTCTGAGATTGAAAAACTTATAATTACGGAACAGGAGTTGGAAACAGAAGTAATTTCCGCGCAGGATTATCAGGAAAGAATTATAAGTTTTAAATTCAGGAAAAATTAAGAAAAAACGCGTGTAAAGTTGAATCTAGAAATTCTAGTGAGGAAACTATATCTCCGAAGTTGAAAACTTGTGAAGTTAATACTTTAAAATTGCCAAAATTAACGATTACAAAATATTATGGTGATCCTTGTTCTTGGCTTGAATTCTGGAATCAGTTTAGTAATTCCATTCACCAAAACGAAAGTCTCAGTTTGGTTGACAAGTTTTGTTATTTAAAATCGCTTTTGGGAGGTTTAGCTTTAAATGCTATTAGTGGATTAACATTTACTAGTGAAAACTATACGGTGGTTGTTGATATACTAAAAAACCGTTTCGGCAGAGATGACCTGCTAATTAATGCGCATATGAATAAATTGTTGAGTTTAGAACCTGTAAAATATTCCGGAAATACGGCTTCTTTGAGGAAGCTTTATGACGATATAGAAATACAAATAAGGAATTTAAATTCTTTAAATGTTACTAGTGGTTCTTATGGACATTTATTATCCCCTATTTTGTTAAAGTTAATACCCGAGAATTTAACTCTAGAATTCACTAGGAAAAGAAGTGATAAACAAAATTTCGATGTTAATGAACTACTAACGTTCTTGAAAACGGAAGTGGAATGTAGGGAAACATCAATGATGTTAGCGCGTTCTAAGAATTTTGATGTAAATGAAACATCAATACGAACAAAAGTTCCCATCAAGGTTATCAAAATAAATCTTACATGCATTCTAAAAGAAATGATTACAGTACGAATAAGCAAGGTGCTTCTGTATTAACTAGTCAAAGCGAAACTCCCTCTAAATACTTTCAAAAATCACATTTTAATCCAAATCGAAAGTTCTCTACCCCGCCACCTAAGAAAGAGAATCAAAATGTCTGCATATTTTTGTTTATCTGCTTGTCATATGAATCATGATTGCGCACTTGATTTAAAGGCTCGCCGAAAGGCATTAATGGATCGAGGTTTATGTTTTATTTGCTTTTCGAAAGGGCATCCAAGGCGTTTCTTTCTGTGCTCATAAAGATGAAAATGCAGACTGTGCAATGTCCAAGGTTTACATAATTCGTTAATATGTGATGCCGCATCGAAAGATTTAGAGACGGATACCTTCCAATCAGACAAAACAAACGCCAATCCCTGAACCTTCTCTTTCGCTCTTATGTAATGAAAATAATAACAAAATTAAACCCACCGACTTCCGTTCTTTTACAGACGTTTTCGGCAGACAGTTGAGGTGTAAAGGGGGGAACGAAAAGGTATTACGTTGTATGCTAGATTCAGGGTCAACAAAGTCATTCATCTTACGAGAAGTGGTTGATTCACTGGGGTTGAAAATTATTAATAAAGAAGCGCTTATTATTTTCACATTTGGATGCAAAGATGCAAAAGAGCGCTTGTATGATATCGTAGAAATCGTATTGCAAAATGTAAGCCATCCCAGTAAAAAGATAAAAAATTAACGCAATAGTCATTGATTCTATAACACTAGGACAAGTAAAAGTTCCTTCCTTCTCGGTGGATACGAACAGATAGCGTTTGAGAAGGGAATAGAATTAGCAGATGCTGGTACAAATGACGAAATTCAAGTATTAATAGGTTCGGATTATATTTGGGAAATTTTAGGAGAACGAAACGTGAAGATT